TTCTATGATCTCTCTTATTTTGTTAAAATTACTCACATTTTCACAGATTCTGCAAGGGGTTTGCAAACTTTCAAGTGGCACTGTATATATTAGGGATGTCAATTTTCGATCATTTCCATGATCGATCGTCGTTTAAATTAACGATCAATTAATCGTTAACCTTAATGCTGCAAAATGCGTCTATTGCAGAGGCACGCAGTCAAAGGCATGACAGGATGTGCAAAAGCCACTCACACGCACACAAAAAAAACGCTTTCTCACCCGAATTAAAGGAGTTTTAGTCTGAATAAAATGCTAGTGGCAGGATTGTAAAATGAATAAGTGTGATTATTATGATTATTTGATAAAATGAAGAGAGCGCGCCGTACGTTTGAGATCATTTTACTTTGTTGACTGTTTCCTATCCCGACACGGAGACCGCTGAACGCGCCTCTTTAAATGGTTTCGTGGTGCTCGTTATTGTATTTTAAAAAACAATTGCAATGTTTTCAACTGACATTATGGCATTTAAAATAATATTATCCCAAAAGTAACTGTGGCGCGTGTGGCTGCAGTCAGTGAACCGCCTCCATCGGTGCTGCTGCAGCAAAACACACTGTTGCTCACATCAAACATTATCATGTGAGTATTATGACCAGTACTTAATTTGATCCTGCTGGATCCTGTTCCGGAAAATGTCAGATTTTGAATCGTTGCGTTCCGGTAGGCCTATTTGTTTTTAAAAATCCGGCATTTACAGTGCATTAGATCGTGACAGTGCATGCATGCGTGCATACGAGACGGAGCGAGCGCGGGTTTGGCTAGACGTATTTGGAGGTTATTACGCACGTCTCATTCGGCACAAATCCAAATGTTTCCATATTCGCAATGTGTTTGAATGTTAAACTATTATTTATAATGTAAACTAGGCTTGTACTTTACACGCATTCGCATATAGACGGAAAAGATCATCCTCTTCACATGAGCAAAAACGTCCTTGGCATAACAGCAGAGTGGACCGGTATACTACGGTCTATTTAAACTGACCAGTGTAACCTTTTATATGTTTGGTTGACTGTATTTTATTTTGATAATGAACAGACTGCTGTATGTAAGTTTGAATTGCTAGAATATGTGGGGTGTGTGCGCGTGAGGTGCCGGTGCGATCGAACAGCTGAAACATAAAAAACTCAATTTTTGGAGTAAGATATAATCCACAAAAGTGTTTACTTTTATTTTTGCACACTCACAATAAAAACAGAAGATTTGTGCTTTGTAAAATAAAGAAAACAAACAGAATGCGCGTTGTCATGTCCTTTCCGTGAACTTGTTTATGGAGCGCCACACTTCTGTTTTAAATCTGTTAGCTTAATTATTTAAGTCAGATATATTTCGCTTTTTTTTTTTTATGAAAACAAAGTGTTATTTTTATTTTAGGCCTATTAATTACATAGGCTATACATTTTCCTTAAAGCATCCCATTTTGTTTCAGGTCTTGAAAACCTTGTGCACTATAGTTAGGTCCTACAGAAACTTATGAACGATGCTCTAGTTGTGGCGTCACCGTTTAGTGACATCACTGAATGCTCCGGGAAAACGTATTGGCAAGTGTCGATCACAGTGCCTTTTAATTGCTGTTTTGAATCCAGCAATAATTTATTTACCAATTATAAGCTCTGATATTTAGGCATTGTTTCTTTTCCTAAATCCTCACCGTCTAACCCTCTAATTTCGCAGGTTTATTTTATTGTCAGTCACTTTTTATCACTGTTTTCGCATCTCTTACTGTGATAAACATGCGGGAGGGGAAATTAAAGATTTCATGGCAATGAATTAAGAATTCGTTCGATTTATTAATTTGTTCCCTCATTTTAGTTAAATCATGGGTAATTTAAGGAACACAATTAATGAAACATGGACAGTGGCCACAAATTAACAAGTCGTAGGAACAAATTAACAAGTTGTAGGAATGAATATCTATCCTATCTGTCCTGTGTCCCACAGCCCTGCAAAGCGCACGATATGAAACAATTATCTGGGGAAATTAGATACGACACTTCTATTGCGATATATATATATATATTATATCATATCTTGAAATAAAATTACTCATATTGTGATATGAGATTCTGGTCATATTATCTACCCCTACTACCATGATAACAGTTTTGTGCAGTTCAATATCTTCAAAGACCAGAACTGTGAGTTAAGTTTAGTTAGTCCCACTAGTCGAAACAAAATAACTTGACTGAGGTTGAGTGTTGAGTTCAATAGCTGGAGAGTTGTAAGTTATTTTTTATCTATTTGCATTATGTCAAATTATTGTGTAGTGACAACGATTTTCCAGAAATAGAAACACGCAGCTGAAGCAACTTAAGTGATCCCCCACTCACAGCATCATCATCATCATCGAGTCTGGAATGGTCAACTGCGTCTGATTCACTGATTCACAGCAGTACAAGTCTGATTCAGTGATTCACAGCAGTACAAGTCTGATTCACTGATTCACAGCAGTATAAGTCTGATTCACTGATTCACAGCAGTA